GAAAATTGATGATTTATAATTATATATGTAGATAACATGAACACAACAGTAACAACGATTATGATATATTCCCTCTGTTAACAAATATTACTTTTACTGAGAGAAAGGTAGGTTGTCAGAGTACACAAAGAGGACGTGTAGGTAGATTTTGGTGGTAGTTAACAAGTCCACGAGGGGCGTGGCTAATTTTTTTTATAATATAGCCTTAATATTCAATGAGTTTTGTTATTGTTCATGTTCGTGTTTGTATATATTTAAAAAAAAAGTTATTTATGTATGAACGTGCAGTTAAATATACTTTACTCCATCTAAGTTTACCAATTCAGGTGATGGGAATTTGTATCAATATTCTGATGGGATTCTGTACACGCGATACCAAACCGCTCATATTCATTTACCCGTTTTTATTATCACAGTGTGTATTTCTGCCGGCACAAAAGCTATAAAACAGCATTCGAGGAATGAAACATGTTGTATAATTAGAATAGCCCTACAAGAGCAGGCTATCAGAAAACACAACGTTACCTGTGCTCCTTCAAAATCGATACAACATATATCACTTATGTTTGTGAACAAGTTTTCTGTGTGTAAACACCTAGCACGTGATGCAAAGTCAGTTCCAATTACATCGCTCTAATTATGGCATGAAGCACAGCTTGTAATTGTAGTTATCTAATTATCTAAGGACTTATCTCATGGAAATGTGATATTGTTGTAATTGTGACGTTTTATTGGTAAACATATACTCTTATAGATAGAAAGAAAAATCACGAAATTCTAGTTATAAACGCGCATTGTACACTAAAATTAGAAATGCTCTATGATCCGGAACGGGACTACAGCTTTATCTTCAGCAAACAATGAAGAGAGCATTGAATATTTTATCATAAATTCAAATTTTAGACAAACTATAATTTTCTATAAAAATATAAGAAATCTATTAGATAAATGTGTCTGTATTCTACTTTTTGGCCACCGATAGTCCGTGTTACTACTACCTAACCAACTAATTCGTTGTCCTACAACAAATTTCTGGTGATCAGTCTTGTTTTTGTTTTTCTATGTACACATACTTCTTAGTCTGTGTCTCTTTTATCTGTGTTTTCTTTCGTCATTCACGTTGACATCAGGAAAGGAGCCTCCTTTAATGAAATAATGAAACATAAAAAATATAACCCCATATGTTTAGCTTAAGATATAATTTGACGTTTCATAATTTTGTTTCATTAAATTTTAAAACCTACACCAAATAACCACAAACCGTTACATTGCATACCTAGTCAGGTATAACGTTAGCATCAAAGTACAAATTACTTAACATGCTTTTAAGGCATATTCCTTATTTAGAAATGGTTCAATACGTGTATAGAAATGATATCCCTGCAGCTTCAGAGGTAATTGTTGATCAGAAGATACAAGATAGTACTCTTGTAAATGAATAAGTCATAAACTGGTATGTGTATCATACCTTAGAATAGTCAGTTGGACTAGGAACTATCGATTCATTGCGGCAGCTGAGATGAGCTCTTTTAACATTTCTTATTGATAGACAACAATACAAGTGAATATAACGATAGATAGTTATTAAAAAACAAAGAAAATACCAACATAATTATAAATCAAACTTAAATTCTATAAACTAGGTCGAAATATGGACAAAAGAAAGATTTACACGGACTCTCCTGAAAAAGTACAAGGAGAATGGGACCATCATCGACGACACCCACCATGTAAACATTGGCCAACCCAATTAATAATGTCACGTTCTCAAATGAGAGCAAGGGATACATACTGAGCTATTTGTATATTGTAAGTATAATTGCAAATAGAATAAGTTCAGGTGTAATTTTCTATCAAACAAATAAAATTAAAATGAGATATGACATATCTGTGATACGCTTCCGCCATAAAGGTGTAATGTGATATTTAAGTAAAAAATCATATTGATATTTGTTAACTAAATATCCAATAAAAGCAATATGAATTAGATGAGACAATTTATTGACTATTTTGAAATCACTTTTTAAAAATATCTGAGGTCCGATTCTACTTTGTAGTTCTGGTGCAAACTAATACGTTTCTCTAAACTGTTTTACGGTTGTTCGTTATTCTTTATTTGAATGAATATTTCATTGTTATGGTAGAAAATTCATGACCTGGGAAATTCGTGACCTAAGATTTCAAGTACAATATTGGATTTTAAATCAAAGACCCATCTCGAAATTATGTGCTTGCACGTTACGACATTTCTCTAAATAACTAGTCAATATTTGCCAGCAGTCAAACTATTTACAATTTTGTGCATTATGCAAGTCTTATAGAAGGGCAGGTAGTCTTAATGATTTACTAACAAGTTTAAATGTGGTTGGGTTCGCATTGGTGATTGTTTTTAAAAAATGTTCTATTTGAAGTTATGCTAAGGTCGCGAGTTAATCAATACCTGTTCCTATGGTAGAATATTCTTCTTCTTTGAAATCATAAATCTTTACTTTGTGTCTTTCACAAAAAAACCAGGCAATTGTCTTAAGAAGGATGGTCAGAGAAAACGAGTGTTTAGTGAAAATGTTTCCAACATGAGTCAGACTAGTTACAAAACCAGGAATATCATTTCACAACTGTAGATTTGTTAATCCAGGTCAGACTGACATATTTTGAGAGCTAATTTGAGATTTGAGAATAGAGCGTGCTTTACTTTCGTGAAGTTTTGACCGCTGATCTTTTCAGTGGGTGTTCTTTATCCGGCCAAAACACGGATATTAGGTGAGAGCTGAACAGAAGCAATGACAACGCATAATACGTATATATGTTAAAGCACATAATATATTAGTTTTCGCAGGATTTTCAAGATTTTCAATTTAAATCTACTAAATTATCTGTCCGTTAAAAAAATTAGTAATAAAAATTATGACACGTTAAGGAGTACTTGTGGATTTTGATAGCAAGATTCATTTAAGAAATAAAGTATCAATTTAAAAAACACTCTTTTTTGTAAATTACAAAATTTGAGTACAAAGAAATTATCAGGTTTTAGAGTTATCTGTTGTAATTGTTATCTTTTACTGATATATACTATATCCATGGCAACCTTGGTTCAAGTAAGTACAAAAAGTTCGACACAAAAAATACTGCGAATATAAGTCAATTAAAAGCAAACCATGGTTTCTACTGAATAGTGCCGCAAAAGTAGGAGTGTCCAGACATAAAACACAATGTCAATAATCTAAAAGCTTTGCAGTACAAATGATTAAACATCCTTCACTGAGATATTTGGACTTATTTTTCTGAATGGCCAAATAGATTTTCATTTAGATAATATTTGTAAAGAATAATTGAATGATTTAAATTAAATAATCCGGTACTGCCATCAATTATATCATAAAGTATTTAGATAGATGTTCCTATCAAAACTGACATTTTAAAATTATTACATTATCAGAGTAAACATATGGTCTGAGATTTTATTGAATTTATCAAGGGATGAAAACTTATGACGTCAGTCAGTTTTTTTTTTTATATAATATAAGTATTGATAATAGATAATCTTTCGTGTTCTGGCTGATTATTATTATTATTATCTTTTTTGTCATCAAAACACTGTTCTAAATCTTTTCTGTTTATTTGCCTTTGATTGATAACGATATGAACATTTTTACTTCCAGCTGTAACTCGGTTCTAAAAACATCAGACAATCGTGAATGTGTAATTAGTTTCACGGTTAGATCACGTGTAATTTCTTTCCAAGACACGATTGACTGGTAACTAATTAAGCACTAGGATGTGTTGGAACGACTGGCAGCTGCTTGATGTTTCTGTAACTATTCATCACCAAAGTAAACAAAAGTAAAATAATGGATAAGATTGATTTGTCTGTTATAGTTGTTTAAATAGTCATTATGATATCAGTCTATTGAAGTAAGTGGCGGTGTATTCACTACATTACACCCTGACTTTTATACCGGAGCTTTGGAGTCGGCTTGTTCAAATAATCACGTTTTCAATGGAGAGTTTTCAATGGAAATCTATCCCTTGATCTACCTCTTATAATGGAAGGGATACAAAAACATTAGTGCATGTAAAGCGTTAGAAAGCTATCGCTTAACTCTCCTATTCACGTGATCCGTTTTGTCACGTGACTTCTCACGTTACGATATGTTCTTGAAGACATATTAACTGTTTAGAAAGTTATTTTTTAACACAGATCCATAAAAAGCAATTAAATCTTTCCTTTTAATAGTTGAATAGCTAATATTTGATTTCTACCTACAGCAGTCACCTTCCCCATGTATACTGCTCTCTATATCCATGACTACATGGTTTGTTTAATGTCAACGTAAACATGGTATCATTACCAGAATCGTACATATATTAATTTAAAGGTGTTTGAAGATGAATTCATCATAAAGAGTCTGTTGGGTTTTTTCCCAACATGTCAACATAATCATAATACAAACTCAAATTCAATAAAACTATGGCAAAATATTTAAAAAGGGATTATTGACTTGGATACTACAGAAAAAAGTACAAGGAGAATAAGACCAGATGTTCAGTAAGAGTTTGCGTCTTCTGCTTCATCTACGATACTCACTATGTAAACCTTTGTCTATCAAAGTGTAGCTTTCTCAAATGACAAGGTATACGACAACGTAACCAACAGGCAAGCTGACGAGCATCAAACACGTCCAGCTTCATCTTTTGTAACCCTGTGTTACGAGTTTGTCCGTCAGTTGACAACTTCTAGCACGAAACCATGATAATGGGAGCAGGCATTTAGGTATCGAATCAAGTGCGATATATGAACAGCATAGACTGGGAATGCAAGAATGCTGCTATCAAGAAATGATAAATTTGATAATAGAAAAATTGAGATAATCATGCTCATCGTACAGCTTGGTGGAAAGCCGCCCATCTTGAAATTTGATGTTGGAAGATCAAGCATACTTCCATTTCTAAAACAAATCAATCCGTGGTTTATTAAATGTCGTTTATATGTGTTTTTTCAGGTGTTATTGCCAGTTTGTGTCCGAACGCATCGACGTGCGTGAACGAAACAGAGTTACGGACAGTCTTCCTGAATGATACCAACATAACCACGACTCTACACTGGAGATATATTGACAGCCGCGAATTGTACCAGGTAGCACAAACAGGTAGCTACATTGTACCTTACATTTTTATTGTACTAATATATCATTATCCAAATATTTCCTTCGTATTGTTTACTGTTTTGTTATCTTATTTATACGTCATAGGCTTTAACTATAAACATATCTAATTTGGTGCTAACAAATATTAGCTCATGATGTTTTAGCAGATTAGCGCAAGGATGGATTTAAGCGTCCACATTAAGCAACCTGCACAAAGTGGAATTGACGCGATCATATTTTAGCGCAAGAAATTTAGCCCGAAAATAATATTACAACTAAAATATGTAGGTTTACAGTAAGATTCGACAAATCGAAAAAAATCGATAATTCAACCATCGGACACAAATAAACACTAACAAATTGAAATGATAATCTCTAAAACAAAAATAAAAACAAAAATCAATCTAAGATACAATGTTGCCTTTAACATTGGTTAGCCGATTCCACTCTCAAGATTGTATAACTTAGTTAATACTTATTGTTAAAAGGTAGATAAATTAACGCCAGGACTAGTAAATATCAGCTGTTGTAAATATTAAAAAAGAGAAAAAACATATGTGAATAACACCTTTAAATTCAAATGAGATTTAGACACAGCAGAGCTAAATAATGAATTAAACTGCATCATACAGGTGCTCCGTCCTTCTAGAACTCGTTAGTGACGTTAAGGGCCTTAATTTTGAAACCTAGTGGGCGACTGCGAAAAAATCAAAGTGACCGAGAGAAAAGTCGAAATCTAGATCGGGAGGTGCCTAGGAAATAATATTAAGAGCGAGTATTTTCCTCCAATGAGAATATTTTAGTCAAATTTAGCTGTCACATTGACACACATATATATAGGTCCTTAGGCTATAAGATATTCTTATATGATCCAAAAATACCAAAAGGATATCTATCTCATTGATTTTTGTGAAAAAATATGACTGTTTAAGCATCAAACATGTGTTTTGTCGATAGCAGCTCTTAGTCTAAGCAACTCGGAAATATTTTGTCAGAGTTGAAATGCTAACAAATAGATATAGTGAATTATACGTATTGTTGGATATTTTCTTATTCACTTTGTACTTGTTCGTGTGTCTCCGTGTGCATCTTTCTTTTGCTCATATTTAGTTTTATTTATTTGTATTATGTTGACATATTGGTATTTTCTTGTTGATTTCATCCAAATATTTGTGACTTTGCAGTGACAGAGTTTAAACACATTGGGATCAGCTCTTGTCTGATCGCTACAGATCTTGACTTCCAATATGTTCAGCCTATATTTAAACACGTGAACATGACATTTGTACATGTTGGAGTTGTCAGTCCTTCGATTGACATACCCAGCCCAAAAGCCACTCTCGGATGTAACAGTCATCACCAGGTCGGCGAAGGCACGACACAAGGAATGTGCCAACCTCCTTTTGGTTATGAAGGTCGTGTGGTTCCACAGATAGTAGGACAGAATTCGGGCCATGTTGCTGTTATTGTGACGTCATTGATTATCCATCTAGAGTGGGATGACGTGTTACTTCTGTATGAAAGTGGCATGGGTAAGTACGTTATCCGTTCTTATGATAGTAAAAAGTGACATACAGGCATGTCCTAGTAATGCATGTCTTAGTAAGGGGACATTGTACTCTCACCCTTGATAATTATTATGGTCTGTTCTTAACGTTTCAATGTTGAAAAACATTAAAGAGAATATCGACTTATCAACAAAAAAATCCCCAAAGTTCTGAATCCAAAGGATGTATGTTTCCAAGAAATTGCGGAACAGAAATAAACGAAAAGGTCCCCACACTTGAACTTTAACTCTAATCGAAATCCAAACTCTACATAGATGAAAAAACGAGAAAATATGGAAAAAGAAAAAAAATCAAACCATTTAAAATGAACTTTAAAATAAATTTTCGGACAAATTGTTTCAATCATTTATAGGTGCAAATGTGATTATAATTCTCGCGAAAAGTACAATAATTATTCCTTTCTTCAGGATAAGTACATGAGTGTTTGACAGGTTCTTTAAATGTGCAAATTAGCTATAAAGGCTTTGGTCATTTCCTAAGCATTTTGTTTATTAATCCCATGATTTTTACTTTGTATCAGAATATAGCTTTTCCTTTTTCAGATGTAGAAATTGAGGAGATACGCCATATACTGCTAGAATATAGTATATTATATAATTCAACGATGGTCGACAGCTTTTCCGAGAGTAACTATCACTTATTGATCAACAAGGCAGCAAATTGGGAACAGAGTCGACGAATCCGGATAGCCACTCTTTGCTTACATAAATGTGAGGCCTTCCTTAATGCTGTAAGTAGATCTTTACAAAACACGCGACTTTCACGTAGTTTCCCATACGTCATCACGGGCAAGTTTATGCAGGCTGTTTTATTGATTATTTGTCTCTTATATGTCTGGTTGTGTTGAAAGATTCAGTTTATTTGCGAGTCTGTTGTACAATCTTTGACATTTACTAGGTTTCAACAACATAGGCTGTTTGGGACAATGACGAGTCCTAAAGGGACGAAAACATTATTGCAGAGTATGAAGTTTGATAAATGTTTTTGCTCTACAATATTTACAATATTTCACCATTCGTAGAATGAGGGGGGGGGGGAGACACATTTCACATGAATGTGAATGTTTTTGTACATTTTTTTCTTAAAGATAATATATATAATCTAATGTTTAGCTCATATTCTAGAAACATGGGTTGTTTAAAAAAGAGAATTACAATTTAATTTTCTAGTTATTTATCTTGTATAATTTTAAATTTCCATGTAGGTTGATTCATACGATCGTGTTCACCTGAGGACCAGCGCTCTGCGTCATTTCTCTGACATGATGATTATCTCCCTTTCCGGAAATGAGTTATTATTCCAGACCCATCTCAACTCAACAATTGATAATATGATATTTTTAGCTTTCCCGCAGCATCTGACTACTGTGGAAACTAGTTTCAACGTATGTATTCTATGTATTTAGACGTTATCTGTCTAGTTTTTTTCCTCTTTCCTAATCTCTCATCTTGCTCTAACATGATTTCAAGCCAAAATCAGCATTCTTGGTTCATACAACAAAGCAACAACTTAAGCGCGGGTCCACTTATTCTTCCAAGGCCCTTCTCCATGTCAATAGGCGTCAAAACATGTTGTAATAACAGTCCATTGACACTAATTCGAACCCAAATATAATAACATGAGGTTTCAGAGCATAGTTTGCCCAACGGCTAGACTACAGTAATGTCTAATATACTGCTTGCATATCAATTTTGGTGGTTTTTAGATAATGTCTAATTATCATTTAAGTATAAAATTATATCGGTTTCATTTCTTTCATAGTTAGTTTTAACCTTTTTACTTTCTTCGATCGATCTTTGTCTTTCTAATCACTTTATCGAATAGAGAGAAATTATCCTTTTGTAATTTGAAAATGTTTTTACGATAAGGCGGATGTTTTAATCATCCTCGACCTCTTCTCTATGGAAACATTTTTTTCTGGTTGATAAATCTTCATATCAATCTCAAAACAAGTCAATGGATTGTGAAGTATTAAATGAAATTTAATTCGACAATTAATGTAAGCAAGTTGAGGTTGTTTTCTTCCATGATGAGATGAAAATTGAACACGGTAAATATAATCATTTGACTGCTTCTTGTTGGCATTTATGGGTTATGACTGCCAAATAAATAAATGCGCATTCAACATGAAGCGCTTGAATTTCCACCATACTGTTGGCATTCAAATGTCCATGAATGACGGCTGAAAGCAGTCCAATGCTTGAAGTAGCGATTTTTAAATGAAGATACATTTCAATCTTCTTTGATAGCACACATAAATAAGGCCAAAGTTAATCTGCTGTTCTTATCCGCAATATTATTTATCTTGCCTTCATATTATACAAAACACTAGTCAGAGAGGTTCCAATCCGTGTTTGCGTTCAATCCAGAAAACTTTTAATAAGGAAAAATATAAAACTTATGTTATATCGTTTTGTTTTAGTTTATCATTAAATATTAAACAAATTTCTATAAAATTACAATGCCACTACAAATGATATTTAACTGCAGTTTAACTGTCTTTTCAGGATTTTGAAAGTTTATTGGACAATATTCTCCAAGATATTACATACGTCGGACAATCCGGTTCTAGTATGAAAAATATGATGACGTCACAGGTCCTCTCAAACGTTCAACAAGTACGTATTTTTTGCAAAAACTTACTATTTCTCCATTTCCCTGGTTTTTGCTGTTGTTGTTCATTTAAACACACTGGTGATTCAAACAAAGTTAAAATTTATCAGTATCAGACTTGAATCAAGAAATAATGTTTCCATTGAGTAATGATGCTAGCGAACTTTTGCGAAATGCTTTCTAAGCCAGTAAAGATGAAATCATTGCAAAAACCCCGTTATGGTTGCCCAGGAGAGGAATTATCGAACCAAAACGCGTATGCGTGATTGTATAGAACCGATTTGATACATCCAAGCACATTTTAATTAGGCACTTCACTACTAGGATAATTAAAACTCAAACATCACATATACTTCGTATACAAAACAGCGTTCAAAGTAAAATTTACCTTTACTTTGCATGCAAGACATTTTTATCGCTAAGATGGTTCTCATGTTAGTGGACGAAACATCAAAAAGTGGCTCTTGGAAAAGATGTTGACCAAACCATACACGGATATACACTTATACAAAATGGGCCATCAGGAGATATCTTAACGTGAAACCGTCTCATTATTACCTAGGAACAAACAATAAAGCATTTCCTGCAGACAGGTCTCCATTATAAACAGACGAGATAACATCTAAATACAATACAGAAAATAACATTAAACTAGATTAAGGAGCGGCATGTAAGGGAAAAGTCCACTTCATCAAAACATAATATTTCAAACTAGGTTGTAGGAAAAGGAAAATACATATTTGTCAAAAAAGATTAATTCAAGCTCAATTCGATGAAAGTGGGACGAAATATGGACAAAAGAAAGGTAACAAGAAAACTCATAGTAAATAACAAAGAGAATGAAAGTAGAGAAAGGGAAATTAATACGAAATTTAATAATCTTAAAGAGGCAACAACAGATTCACAACGGATGACGCCAAAAAATGTGAAAAATATTACCTTTACGTCATTTGTTTATACAGATGAACTTATTACAAATCCACGAAATATTATCAACTAACGACATAGTTTGCTGTTGCATAGCGACCGTCACGGTGATTAAACAATGGAAATCGCTGCAGAAAACATATATCATTGGTTAAGATAGGCATAAATAAATGAATTAAACGCTTTCCAAATTACAATATATGATCTTATTACACGTTTTCCACGGATTAACTTTTAATATTTTTAATGTTATTGACCCTTCGCTGTAAATTTCGAGTACAGTCCATTTTTTTGTTTAATTTAATTACAGATCGCACTATTTTTGACATTTATAAAGTACCTTGATCAGCTTACAAACATTTCATTTGATTCGATAGATACAGGGAACCCGAGCGTGTCGTTGGATCCCCATATCAACCCTGATGTGGACCAATCCTGGCCCCAGAGGACTTAATGTCGTCGGATTCGTGGACGACAATGGAAGATTGTACGAAGTATCGACTTTCCTTCCCAATAGGAACTATGGATGGAACGGAAGAAATTTACTTGTTGCCACATTGCAGGTATTGCTAATTAAAGTTGTTGATTTCAGATTCATTTCAAAATCTCACGCATGCGCATGAGTAAGCTTTGTATATATGTTTATATAAAAGTGTAATTAGTTAATGTGTTGAAATCAAGGAAATATTTGTTTACCATGTATGCTTTTAAAAAAGTCTTCAGGCACACTTTCATGAAAATTGGGAATTTTTTCGATTTATGGAATACATTTACATGCAAGAAAATGTGAACAGATTTTTAACGCATTCATTTAGTTACTGTACAAATAAGAGGTTCTTTGAAGCTGATAAGAAATACATACACAACTATAACTGCTACAATTGCAGCGGTCACTTTTTATACGTAATATTTACACTGGTCACTTTTTATACGTAATATTTACACTGGTCACTTTTTATACGTAATATTTACAGTGGTCACTCTCTATACGTAATATTTACAGTGGTCACTTTTTATAAGTAATATTTACAGTGGTCACTTTCTATACGTAATATTTACACTGGTCACTTTTTATACGTAATATTTACATTGGTCACTCTCTATACGTAATATTTACAGTGGTCACTTTTTATACGTAATATTTACAGTGGTCACTTTTTATACGTAATATTTACACTGGTCACTTTTTATACGTAATATTTACAGTGGTCACTCTCTATACGTAATATTTACAGTGGTCACTCTCTATACGTAATATTTACAGTGGTCACTTTTTATACGTAATATTTACAGTGGTCACTTTCTATACGTAATATTTAAAGTGGTCACTTTCTATACGTAATATTTAAAGTGGTCACTTTTTATACGTAATATTTACAGTGGTCACTTTCTATACGTAATATTTAAAGTGGTCACCTTTTGTACGTAATATTTACAGTGGTCACCTTTTGTACGTAATATTTACAGTGGTCACCTTTTGTCGTGAAGAACGGGAATAACTCCTATGAAGGACTATGTTTCGATATTTTCAATGAAATAGCGACCAGATTCAATTTCACGTGAGTATATCAGTACACAATATATCTTCCATGTGAATAAGGATTACCTCCCTTCTCAGTAAATCTCTCAGCCAGTGATGTGTTTGCATAATAGTAATGGTTTTATACAGAACTATTAACAAGCATGAGTACCGAAAGCATTATCTATATGTTTCAGCGAGCACCGTGTCCATAAGTTGAAATATCCGTAATAGATCAGAATATTTAATTTTAATGTCTTTGTTTCTTTGTTGTTTAATGTCCTATCAACAGCTTACAAAATTAAAGGACAGTCAACAGGTGTATGTGATACGAGTGCGTTTGATGAGCGTGTGTTGGTGGAATACTGTAATATATTAGTATAACATTCCTTGTTATAGTGGGAGCGCCTAATGGACATGTCGGTATTAACTTTTTTACGGGTTTTTTAAATCTCTGGTTAGCTCCATACATCTAAAAGGTATATATTCCTCATTTTAAAAAAAATTATGTCCTGTAAATTCCAAGATAAGGAATTATAAGCAGGTAACGCTTCTAAAAAATTTCTGAGAGAAATACGTACCTGCGGGCCTTTGAGATAATGAATTGCTTGCCCCTTCTATGTTCTGCTGTTTAAATCCCGTAATACATTTATAGATTCTACTATTTTATAGATATGATGTCATGGAGCCCCCAGATGGTGACTGGGGACTTGAACTCGATAATGGGAGCTGGAGTGGCGTTGTAGGAATGTTACAGAGAAAGGTAACCATCTTATCACCTGACATCAAAAAATGTCACAGTACATTATTAAATATGAATTTAATGACAGACAAAGTATATGTAAAATGACGATTGAAAACTGTATCATAAAGCTATTACATGCATTTCTTTGATACGATGGGCCAATAACCATGAAAAGAGGGTTATGAATGTCTTACATGGGACTTATACAGAAATGTATAACTGAAAATGCACAAACCACGTCAATTGATAAGTTATGATATGAAATACATACTCATTTAAATGGCTACTTAGAATGTTCGTTTTTTAAGGCACACCAAAATGAGAAAGACAACTAACGAATTTATTTTATTTAATGAAATTCTAAAAAGTATTAATTTAACATTTATGAATTTATATTGATACATGGGCTCGGCATCGTTTAAAATTGTCTTCCTGTTTCAGAACTTGTAAATGTATATATTTGCCATGTTTACAGGAAATCGACCTAGTAGTTGCTTCTTTGAACGTCCACAGCCGACGTGAGGAGGTGATAGATTTCACCTATCCTTATTTCTACGATAGTACGATCATCCTCATCACAAAGGAAGATCCGATGAAAACAAAATGGCGGACTCTTATTGACCCATTTGACGACACAGTATTATTACTGATCGGCTGTGCGCTGGTGGCAATATCTTTCTTATTGTGTGTGTTTGAAAGACTAAGTCCATACTACTGTGATGAAGTCAACTTCCTTGAGGATAAAAGTCTTAAAAGTTTCCAGGATTCCTTCTGGTACCTTTATGGGGCTTTACTCACACAAGGTAGATAATACTCCAATCACGACAAGTAGGTTATACGATACAAACATCAGATCACGTATTGTATATAATATTCAAATCAATCCTGGTTTGTCATTCTATACTCAAATCACGACAAGAATGATACACAAGACAAACATCAGACCAGGTAAAGGATATAATATTCAAGTCAAACCAGATATATCATGTAGTAACCAAAACACTCCAAGTAAGGCATATACAACACGAATCACATCAGGTAGATAATATTGCTTAAAAGAAATTTGAAACTGTCAAAACTTTTGACCTTAGGTGTGAAGCTTGTTGACTAAAATCAATGACTTAATTGCTTTTGACAATTAGAATAAACAGTTTAATTTAAGAGTTTCCAGATTCCTGTTTCTCTGACAGTAATACTTGCCTAAACAGTTTTGAATCAATATAAGCAATTTTTCTTTAGATCTTTTCATAAGACATGTTAACTTCTGGTTTTATTAATTCATACTTTTCTCTTTTGCACAGCGTTGCATTTTTCTGTTTGTTTTCATTTATAGAATAAATATGGTATTGACATGACAATGTCAACAATGTCGGTCCCATTCTCGCTGTTCAGCATCTACAGGAATGTACCAGCCATCTTTATTCATTTAACGTCAATGCCTACTACAATTGTATCATTGTAGGTGGCGACCGTTTGCCACATTCACAGACTGGTCGGACGCTCCTGAGTTGTTGGTGGCTGTTTTGTTTGGTAATGATGGCGTCCTACAGTGGCAATCTCATCGCTTATCTGACCGTCTCTAAAGACAAACTTCCTTTTAATACGGTCAACGAGATGCTAAATACAGACGATTATAAATGGGGACTTATTGGAGGAAGTTACTGGGTAACCATATTTAAGGTAAGACCATGCAAATCATTATGTGCGAGGGTTAATGGTTCGGTGAACTAATCTCTTTTCCTAGGATATTGATTTTCTATGGTTTAGTTAGCAATCTTAATCCACGAAATAATAAACTGTTAAAGACATGCACTATCCAACAAAAAGTATGATTGATCCTGAGAACCACAATGTATATTTTTATTGAAAACCGTAAAATTTTAGCCAAGGAATAAAAAATTTGTGATTGCAAACTAAAGGCGCGATCAATGGACCTCTAATACACAGGTATATTTTGATACGTTCCAAATTCGCGTGGATGAAATTTAAGCTGCCGAATGACTCTCTGTACATTTACAGTGCTTACATATCTGCTGCTTATTGCAACGCAAAAATCTTGATTGTTTTCTCTACCTGTCTTTCTGTTCTGTCTTTTTGTGCTTTGTATTGTTTTGTTCCTCTCGATACCAGTCGCCTTACAAGTATCCGATGCTGTCCGGTATTAAACATCGTAAAAAACACGAAAATGCATAAATTATCATTCTAAACAAAATGTGTTGCAACACAACCAGATAGAGATCTGCCTTTGATATGCAGTTGAAGTAAAACCTTGTACCTTTCCAGAATAAAATAAATAAATATTTTTGTCATAACTTCAAAAAATTAGCATTTAGGAAGCTGTCATATCCTCTGTAATCACTGTCCTTCGTTTATGTACCTATTTGTCTGGACAGAATTTAGCATATAGACATTTTTATTTTGTCCTGTCAGAAAGTTAATACACATATACATTTTATACATTTTTATTTTCATAACCATTATTGTACTTATTACGCATCTCTTGATATCCTATATGTTTTTCCAGCACTCTGTTTTATCAGAGTTTAAAGCAGTTTGGCAGGGTATCGAACGTTTTAATGAGAGTGATCCCAGCGTTCTGAGCACGAATCCGGACGTCCACATACAGAAGGTTTTAAGTAGTAACTACGCCTATCTCGGAGACAAGACCCAAATCGAAATCAAAATGGCGAACGAATGCACACTTCGAACAGGTAAAGAGGAGGTCTTACCATTCCAGTATGCATTCGGTCTTCCAAATCTCTCGCCATTTACAGAAATGATATCAAGAGAGTAAGTACGTTAACATGTAATGAACACGCGTGTATGTAGTAATGAACTTAAATTCACTTATTCACAGCTACTGTTTATTTTACAAAATATAATAAAAGAATCACTTATTCACAGTCACTGTGTTTTTATAAAATCCTAAATTCACTTATTCACAGCTACTGTTTATTTAACAAAATACAATAAAAGAATCATTATTCACAGTCACTGTGTTTTTATAAAATCCTAAATTCACTTATTCAGTCACATTGTTTTTACAAAATGCATTAAAAACCTTTAGCTGTGACAAAAGCGTTAAATAGAACGTTACAGTGACCTTGAGTAACAATATCAATCGAACAACACGTGAAGTTGAAGCAAAACTAATTCAAAACGCCGCGTGGGATGTTGATTGACTCATGGGACTATGTTGTATTGACTTTGTCAGGTCTCTTCGTTGATCGATAGCGATTCACTATGAAACTAATCAGATATTTACCATTCGTATTGTTTCAAATCAGGTGTAGCGTGGTCGGGCTTATTTCTGCATTGTTCTCGCTGTATAGGACATTGTAATTAAATTGCGGCTCTTTGAACCAATTTTCATGATTCCCAAGCTTTCGTTAATGAGAACTCTGCATCTGTAACTCGTATGATTACAATGCATTCAGACAGTACTATTTATAGCTATAATCATATTTCATTAAAGATCAAAATGCTGCTTCGTTTCCCTGTACGCTGCGCTTGGTATATGTCAACAGTTGAACACAGACTCAGTATGCAGCGTTAAGGATAATTTTCACTGGATACACAACAAACCACGCAATTCAAGCATTTTCTTTATTTCCATTGTTACATTCAAAAAACACAAACATACAATTCATATTTAGGAAAAATAAAAACCTCGTTTTTGTCCTCAAGAAAGTTTACAACGCTAGAAAGTTATTTTATTAAAAAAAAGTCGTTCAAAATGGGTAGCCATTTTATATTATATAATATTGATAACACTTAAATTTACAAACTACACAATTCTTTGGTTTGTTGCAGAATCATTGAAATTCACGAAAGTGGACTAATAAATATATGGAAAAGTCGGCGTTGGCCACGGACTAATATTTGTGGCAGTGAGTCGCTCACAGCAGCCAAAGCGATAACATTGGTAGACGTTCAAAGTGCCTTTTATCTAATCGGCATCGGACTGACTTTGGCATCGATGGTCATGGGCATAGAAAACCTCCGGGCTATGCACAGGAAAAAAATATTAGCAAAAAAGGAGAAAATGGAAGAAGAAAAGAAGGAAAAGGAACGAAATAGTAATGGAATTTAATAAACATCAGTGTAGCATTGGAAACATATATGGAGAGAAATGTTGGTAGCGGATCACAAGACCTGTCGTCTTATAGCAAACAGAGAGTTCAATTTTTCACAAGTGGGTGAACATGGTCTTCGATATGGAATTATAAGACCAAAATGATTTTTAAAATGTTGGAGATTTTTGGTTGTTGTCTGAAAATATATATTTCCAAAGATCTGTGTTGTTGATAATATTATTAATAAAATTATTATAGGACAGTGAAGTGTAGTGCAGTATAAAATCCCAACTACAGTAGTTTGTGAACTTTTGCAATATTATGATTGTATAATTGCGGACTCAGCACTGATTGACAAAATGCCTGCTAGTATAAAGAAGCATTTCAGATAAAAGGAAATATTTTTGATTCGATCAACAGTGTGTATCATTTTACATATCCTATAAGCAATATAAACAAGAGTATCAGTGAAACTGATGAATACTCCCCGAAAACAATTTCTTTGGAGAAAAAAATATTGAAAGGGCAATTATTCTGTAATTAGGAAGCTGCAAGCCCTGACTTTCGTATAAAGTGCATTCTTATAGCATTACCAATGTATATACCATGTTTCTATAACGCCTAAATGATGCAAAAGAGAGTTATGGTTCTTGTACACTGCACTTCTGTTTATCGAGATCCATCTGCCTATAAAGTTTCATGTTGATACCTCTTATAGGTTTTTTTGTGTGATTTTGCTCCGTAAAAAATTAAAATCAAAAGTCAAAAATATCTGATGAAACTAATATTTTTGTTTGCTATTGATTTCGAATTTGAAATTGTAAATATCGCCAAAGCTAATGGAAGAATAGTTAGATGTGTGATAGTTGATGTTGATTGAAATTTTCTCAGGAATAACGTTGACTTTGACCTCTTTAATTATGAGTTTCTACATGAGTTCAGATAATACTTTCGTAGGTTTGATGTTTGTTTATATTTACAAAATTAAAAGTTATTTACTTGTAATATTTACAGTCTGCAAACTTTAAAAATTGCTTTAACAAACTTTAGTGCCATGAGTTGATTACAAATATGTTCAAACTGAGGAATGTGAGCGAATTTGAATGCTTCAAACCATTAAGAGTTAGTGTCAAGCAGGAAAGATTTCGCCAAATACGCTTGAAACTAAAGTGAGAGGAGGAAAAATCCATTCTACTGTGAACAGCATGAAATGTCAGATTGGTGTTTAAGTCTCTTCTTCATTTTTGTTGTTTACAATTTGGTATTATTTCCAAAAACTAAACATGCATTTCAAAGATATCTATTTCCTGGGAGTAGAGTTTTTTCGTGGTAATTTTAGATAATCTATGTAAAAATGTCGTATTAAAGTACCAGGAAATATATTTCGTACTTAGTTATTGACGTTCCTGTCACTGACAGACTGTGGAGTGAATTGTTATCTTGGTAAAATAACGAAACCTGTCATTTTAATCCTACTGCAGCTGTTGACAATCATAAAACTGAGATATCAGATGTGGATAATGACTTCTTACTTTCATTGTTATTTACTATTTTCAAATCAGATACATTTTAAATATTGCTTACTCGTAAAAAACATTCCATGATTATAAAGTGTCGTTAACCGTTAAGCTAGGCCAGGACAATCTGAACAGTTACTACCTTCACGATGGAAATTGAATGAAAGGAATATCTGTCTACTAATTAATATTAAGTCATTTTAAAAAAAGGAAGGTAAGTGTAGCAGCAAAACCTAAGGACAGAAATGTTTCCATTTTTAAAATTTATTTTTAGATGAAGATAATCTTATATCAACTTCATTCATACTATATCATAATGTGTTAAAATGAAGGATGTGATTATTTCATTGAGTTTTCTATCGTTAAAGAACTTCTAGCTGAAGCCGTATTTCATATCCTAGTCAATGGAGATTTTTCATCAAATATAAAGTTTACAAAATAGGAAAGTAAATGTAAATTATTGTTCTAAGTTTTGTTGTTATTGTTGTAGGAAAAAGATAACAGATAAACAACAATGATATATTACTGTTTAGATCAAAAAGTACTATGCAGTCTAATTTTGTGGTTAAAGTGTCCTTTTGTTGAAATTCCTCAACACATCGATATCAGACCTAAAAGCGATGTTATTGGAGGTGGAATAGTCTGGTGTTCCGTGTGTGTGTATTGTTGATTACTGTGTTATTGTTAATAACTGAACAAAGGATTGATTTAAAATTATGATTTGTATGCAACTTTAATGAAATAAATAATAAAAACAGATTCTTAAAACAGACAAGTTGTTGTTGATATGCTAATTTCAAGAGTCCAGGGGATCCTTATTTTCCAGGTAATGGTTGCAAAGACTCCTGCCAGTTAAAATTTCCTTTACTCATTATGACCAAGTGTGTGTGTGTGTGTGTGTGTGTGTGTGTGTGTGTGTGAGAGAGAGAGAGAGAGAGAGAGAGAGAGAGAGAGAGAGAGAGAGAGAGAGAGTCAAATTAAATGAAATCCCTATTTCACTTTTTTGCAATTAAGAGGTATCATCATCTTTGCTTAATTTCTTATCGCCATATATGAGTAAATCTAATTAAATTCTCAAAGAGAGGTTGTAACTGTCTTATTAATATATTTCGATTATTAATGTATAGAGGACAAACATCAAAATGGTAATAAAAGTCTTCACATGGGTTGCTGCATCTACATTCAGCTGTGTTACCTTTTGCTATGAAAATGCGTAATCAAGAGATCTGGCAGGATTTCTCAAACGGAAATAAAGTATGTTTAAATTACGTAAATCCCAAACCTAAAAGCATTTGTCATGTATTATTTCTGTCTCACTGATAATTGATTTAAATGTATTGAGAAAATGAGAGTTCCTTATAGAAATATCTATGTCATACCACGTTTTGTGCTGTTGATGAGAAAAAGAATTTCGCACGCTTAAGAGATAACCTGAAGTTCTAGTGATTGGAAACCATTTGAGAATTAAAAGATTTATGTAAAGATCAAATTTCAACTCTCAAACAATCAACGATTTAATTTTTCATTATTTTTAATGACCTCTAACGAAACAAAATAGAAACAATGTCGTGAAAGTTTCGATATCATGTAATTTTCCTTTTCAGTTGAAAAAAAAAAGATGTCAACTGAGGTTTCGATCCAAGCATCTTTGGAGTCGAGAGCGGAGAGCTTACCACTGTGCTATCGTTGCGTTACATATGACAGAGTGAAAATTTAGGAATCTTATTAAGTATGTAGTTTACTCCAATCTATTGAACATATTTTGTGTTTGTGTTTGTGTAAAACGCAAAACATGTGTCAAGAAAAACAAAGATGAGAATGATGTGTTCAGTACATCAATGACTGTTTATGCTAAAATACCAAAAATTCAAATATCTCCGTATCAACAAGCACTGCACCCCTACCCTTACACTAAAAATCACCCAAATAATACACAATACACAAGTCTGATCTTTTTTCAGGAAACAAAGTATCTATTCGTTAGTTTTTTTTTTTCTGTAAGTGTACATTAAATGTCATACGACAGATAACCTGTTTTACACTGTAATATGACACCAGCAGTATGTGTTTCACATTGTCTATGATTAATGTATAATACAAAGGCTCATCTTGGAATCAAACAATGATTACTAGTTAGTCATATATTATTCAATGACAAAAAACAAGTTCATTGTAACATTTTACTACGTTTGCGATGATAAAAGCTTGAAAAAAGTGAAAAGGTAATAGTTAAGTCCGCGTTTCTCGATATTCTAATCACCAGCAAATTAAAATGGAATTCATCTAGTCCCTGTTGATTACTTACATAATAAGTAGATCGTGTTCAAGCGTAAATCGAAAATATCGGAGAAATCCAATTTGCATATTTAAATAACTCATTTAAATATGTTGTCAAATTTCGACATAGTGACGTTTAAATTTTTTTTTGAAAAGCAAAGACACGCCCACCATCCTCCCTTTGGTGCATTTCTTATATTGGTGTCATGACGTCGTCTATGTGGTTTTAGGGTCATTTGCATACATGGTGCTGTTTCACTTAAAATTCAATTCAACGAATAAAATCAAACTGTTAGGAGGTATTCATGTTTAAAATAACCAACTACGTAGCAATATTTCCGCGAAAATACTGAAATATGGTGAGATTTTGAAGCTATTATTCTCTGGTGTTACGGATCTCTTTCACATACGTTCTATATACGTTACCTATCCCGTGATACCTAACGATAGCATGTAAAAACAATTGAATAAAATCAGTTAAACGGAGGTGAAGATCGAAATTCATCACCACAATTTACAAAATACAATGCCCGACATTAATTCACCGTCTGATTTCATTGTTATTCTGAAATGAGTGCATTTGAAATGAATAGATTTGAAACACCGCGATTAAGATTTGTCCTGTTGTATATATACAGAATACAAGAGCGTGTTAAACACGTCTTCAAGAAGAAGCCAAGTGTGATTTTCCTGTCAAGCATGGGTTGTCACGTGACCAAAGCTACCTAAAAGAGTGTTCCGCTTGTGCCCATTCCTAATCGCTTCTATTAATGCGATCGTGCCCTATGCGGTATGGTATACTGAGGTTTTGTACACTGTTCCGTTTTCTTGTGAGTACGCGTTAACCGTGTCTTTATTTCAAAGTATTTATGAATGAATTTCCGTTGTTGTCTGTGCATAAAGTTTATCTATATGAAAATGCTTGATTACAAAAAGTTCAGTCTTTAATTCGTTTATTTAACTTTTTATCAATTGTTGTAAATTGCATCCTGTCGATATAATGTATGATCTAGGGCCCCTTAGTATGAACGTCAAGGTTATATAATTCAGATTGGTCTATATAGACATGTTTGATATAACGTCGAGAAATAGGCGATCATGACAGGTACCTGTTTTCAGCTAATACAAATAGACTTCTAGGACAGTGGAAGAAAGTCGGTATGTATCCA